CTTGCCCTCCCTCAGGAACTCTCAAAACTGTGTCTGATGCCATGCCTTTCTGTTTTTTGTTTGTTTGTTTTGTTTTGTTTTGTTTTTGAGACAGGGTTTCTCTGTGGTTTTGGAGCCTGTCCTGGAACTAGCTCTTGTAGACCAGGCTGGTCTCGAACTCACAGAGATCCGCCTGCCTCTGCCTCCCATGCTGGGATTAAAGGCGTGCGCCACCACCGCCCGGCCTGCCATGCCTTTCTGACTTTACGTCTGTGGCAAAGTGGGGCCCCAGGTCACTCATTCTGTCCAGTGGTTACAATCAGTGAAGATCCAAAAGAAAAAAATTGAGATGAGATAGGGTCTCATGTACCTCAGCCTCCAACTCACAACTCTAGTCAAGGATAACCTTGAACTCTGACCTTTCTGCCTGCACCTACTAAATGATAGGTAAGATCACAGCTGTGCACTGCTCTGCCCCGTTTACGTGATGCTGCAGATCAGACCCAGGGTTTCCCACATGCTCAGCAAGTACGCTACCAGCTGAGCTACATCGCCAACCTTCCAAAGGTTTTCCCTTTCCTTTTATAGGAGGCGTTAGGGAATTACATGTTCCTTAATGAAGGGCATGGCGATACCAGAAACCGGTCTAGATCTACACACCAGTGTTCAGTTGGCTTGTTAGGCTTGGGAACTGAGAAGCAGTGATGAGGAACCCTGTCGAGATTTGGTTCCTCAGGTCACTCCCAGCTCTACATCAGGAGCATATCTGAACCTGAGGAGGTAGAGGAACCCACAAGGCCCCACAACTGCTTTCCAGACTGTTAGCTGGAGCTCTGTTTTATCTAGCCTCCTGGGTGGTTCAAGGCACTCCACAAGAGAGGCTAATTCCTACAGCGGGGACTCCAAAGTTTTAGCTGTGACTTGCCTCAATATATGGTCCTGTAGCCTCTCCTTTCTCTCTTTATCTCAATATACTTCTCTCCTCAAACAGTTCAGAAAAACGCCCAGTAGAGGCTGTGTTTTCACATTGCTGAAGTGACACCGGCTCCCCAGGCTCCTCGGACAGAGCTTTTCTGCCTTGGAGAAGTGGTACCCAGTAGCAGGCCTGACGACTTCAGACCAATGAGTCTGGACTTGCCATCTCCTACTGGATGGCTGGGCTTTCTATCTGAGGTTTATTGCTGTGGTCAACACTGACAACCCAGATCACATCTGAAGCTGTGTTCTGCTTTTCCCATCTCACTGAGATGGAAGGGTGAGAAAAGGTCTTTACTGTGTTTTGTTTTACTTTAAGAAATGTCTCAGATGCAAGTTCACCGAGGGACACTGAGATGAATTGTTGGGAGTAAAGCGTTTATTAGAAATGTTTCTAGTGTCATGTCAGGGGCTCCGCGGAGAACCAGGGCCCTCGAGGCAGACGAGTGGGGAGTGTCTCTTCTACCTTTTGGACTATGGGGAGGTTTCATAGTGCAAGCATTTCTCCTGAGCTCAAGAGAAATTGTGCTTCTTCTGCCCAGGTCCCCTGGCCACCGAGTCTCCTGAATCTGTTCTGTGTGCTCTGGTGACCCCTGGTCCTGCATGCACAGGCATGTGGAAATGGCTAGATAGTTTATTAGCAGCTGCTGAACACAAGATCAGATTCAGAGACCACAGCACCACATTCTCCCAGATCAGCCAGTTTGCTTCTCACGTGTGGGTATTGGCAAGTTCTTATTAGGGCTGCTTTGCCACAAGAACCATAGCGGGTCAGAGTCAATGAGAGGCAATTGTATGCTTTCTGCTCAAAACTAATCCTCACAAGTTAGTGACTATTAATAAAAAAGGTGAAAACTGAGAGGGTTTAAATTCCAAGATTTTTCCAGATTAATCTCCCCAAACAATCAGGTTTTAAGACTTTAGGCTTCTGGCTGGGCGGTGGTGGCGCATGCCTTTAATCCCAGCACTCGGGAGGCAGAGGCAAGTGGATCTCTGGGAGTTCAAGGCCAGCCTGGTCTACAAGAGCTAGTTCTGGGACAGGCACCAAAGCTACAGAAAAACTCTGTCTCAAAAAACAAAACAAAACAAACAAACAAACAAAAAAAAGACTTTAGGCTTCCGAGGCTGTGTTCTTTATATATCTTAGGAATGCCTGGGCATGCTTAAGGAGCAGCTGAAGCAGTAAGATAAAGAACACATGTCACGATGCTGCCCTGTAACTCCCAGCATCAAGTGCTACACTCCTGTGTAGGGTCCGCTTCACAACACAAGATGCTAGAGATTAATCCCGGGGCTCCACGTCCAGCAACTGAGGCTTGTGAGGGAATCATCTGGCCTCCAGAGGATTGATGTAGGCCCTTCAATTCCAGTTTGGCTGCCTTCAGCACACAAAGCCTCTCTCTTGAGATGGCTCCCCTTCCTACACGCATCTTTCCTTAGGGCATATGCCATGGTTTTGGCACCTCCAACATTCTACGATTTCCTTTGCTACTTGGGTTTCACCCTAATTTCACAAATGGTCTCTCATGACCTTCTTGCAGGGATTACAACTCTGCCGCACATTGCCTGGTCTTTGCAGCTCTCTGGAACCATGGGGCAACATTTGTGATCCTCTTAATCTTGAGTCTTTTGTGCTGTGGGGAGGGGACAATGGAAACAAGGGGATGATGCAGCCAAGTTCTATTGCCATCTTGGGATAGAGCCTGGTTCGCTTGGGACTTCTTGAAGTCTCTGTGTGTGCTTCCTCTGGGGGAGACACTTTCCTAGACCGTTGCTTTCCAGAAGTAGGGAACCCTTCCTACACTTGAAGCTTAGCTCTTTTAAAATGAATTTGTATATTGACAAGTTGGAGCCTTAGATGAGGCGTTTCCCTCGGGGCCTGTTTGTCCAGTGCAGGGCAGGTTTATTTTTAACAATAGCGGTCTCTTTCTTAGCATCCCTATTGGTTGCAACTTTAAACTTTCTTTCTTCCTCACAAAAAAAAAAAATGCATTTTTTTTTTTTTACATTTATGTTTTGCCCAGTATTTGGCTTCACTCCACTGAAAGTCTGGATAAGAGCAATAAGCAGAAGCCATTCTAGAGTCTAGCTGTCCTATCTGGAAATTTCCTCTGCCAAAAATTAATTCATTATATCTTGATTTAGCCTATGGTGGTCATTCAAACCACCACACTGAGTTTAGTTAGAACAATGGTTTTCTTTGGATTTGATCCCAGCACTGTAAAATAAACTATTATGAATTCCTTGTTGGGAAATTTACAGATCTCAGTTTCTTTGGAGTTTGTTACTGGATTATTATTCTTTTATGGTATCATGTTTCCTTGATTTGTTTTTAGTTTTTATTTTAAATAAACATTACGTTTCTGAGATAGGGTCTCATGTAGCCCGGGCTGGCCTCAAACTTACCACAAAGCTGAAGATGACCAGGAAACTTGATCTTCCTGCCTCTCAAATGCTGGGCAGGCAGGCATGACCTGTCACACACTCACACACACACACACACACACACACACACACACACACACACACAGAGCTCAGTCTTTACTTTCAAGTCTTTGCTGCATATGTATAAGAAACCACACCTCTTCCAGATTAATTTTTTAATTTTGTATTTGAGCATCTCTGTGTATATACACGGACATGCTGGCTCACACATGCTACAGATCACGTGTGGCAGTCAAAAAGACAGCTTGGGTGAGTCAGTTCTCTCCTCTGACCATGGATCCTGGGGATTGGTCTCAGGGTGTCAGGCTTAGAGGCAGGGCCACCTTACTCACTGGGCCATGTCTCTGGCCCCTTCTCCAGGCTGTACTGACTACCTTTGGGAGAGAATTTACCGATTAGCCTGGCCATGGACTCTGAGACACAGACATTTGCTGTTGACTTACCTACTCCACACATCTGCTCCCTCTTGTCTTCTCTCCGTCCTGAAAAGCCAGGCTAGGTGTACGGAGCTTCCTGTTTGCTCTCCCTAGTCTGGGCACCTTCTAATGCTGTCAAGTTGAGTGACTCTCTGCCTGAGATACTTGAGGTTCTGTCCATGTGGACATGCCTGGGAAGCCAGCCTCACTGATCAAGGGTACAGCATACGTAGGAATGTCCATAGGTGAGGCATCCCAAGTGGCTCTGGGTTGTCCTTCTCTGCTGCTAGCCTTTCCAACATTCAGCTCTCCCAACCGCCTCATTATCCTGGCTGGGCCAGCCAGGAAGCACAGCTTTCTGCACAGCTGATGAAGTGAGAGTTGGCTCTGTGCCCTCGGATGGAGCTGCTTTGCACTGTGATACACAGCTATGGCTGCGGGTGATGTGGTTAAAGTGAACTTGTCTTACCTTCTCAGTGTGTCTGCTCACAGGTTTTCTGCTAGAGCTGACTGAAACCTCCCCGCTGGACTTCCGGATCCCCGACAAAAGTGCCGTCCATGAAGAGTGTGAGAAATGACACTTTTGAGAAAAATGCTCTGCTGTCTTGCTGATATCATCCTCTCTTAAGTTTAGACTTGTTTTTATTATCTTAAATTATGTGCATGTGTGGGGCATATACATGTGTGCAGTTGCCATGGAGGGCACAAGAGGGTGTTGGATCCCTGGGACGGTTGGGAGCGGCCTGATGCAGGTGTTAGAAACAGCACTTGGGCCCTCGGCGATGGCTGCACGCAGCCTCAGTGCTGAGTGCTTTCCCAGTTTACTCTTACGTGATTTCTTTAAAAAAAAAAAATTATTTATTTATTTATTTATTTATTATGTATACAATATTCTGTCTGTGTGTATGCCTGCAGGCCAGAAGAGGGCACCAGACCTCATTGCAGATGGTTGTGAGCCACCATGTGGTTGCTGGGAATTGAACTCAGGACCTTTAGAAGAGCAGGCAATGCTCTTAACCTCTGAGCCATCTCTCCAGCCCCCTCTTACGTAATTTTTAAGTAAACATTTTGTTCTCGTCAAGGGCTGGTCCCAGTGGGTTTATTTACCTCTGCGGTCTCTCTAAGATCACATGACCACTTTCTAGCTTCCACATATACCGGGCACCAGATCTTGTTTTTAAAATACACAAGTGTAGCATTAAAAAAATAAATTTATTTCAAGTATGAAATAATGAAGAAAAAACACATAAGGAAATTATAAAAATAGCAAAAATAAGATTAGAAATGAAGACATCAGACACAGGTGCTGTTCTAGTTACTAACACAAACATTTCACACGAAACATTTCTCCAACATTCCCAAAGACAACAGCCATGTTCACAGCGCTTCCGAGTGCAACGGCGTCTGAGAACACAACTGTGCTAAATCGTCTGCTAAACCTGACACAGGTGATAATTACTACTTCTAAAGCTATGACACAAAATTATATCAAATCCTCACCTTCTATATTATCTACAACATTCACTTAAAATACTGACAACATCAGGAATTCACTTTGCATTGTTACATAGTACGTTATCCCTTTCCAAACAATGGCAAAGCACACATATGCTTTTCAGACATTAAATAATCCAGCTTCCGACTGTGATTTGTTCAGAGTTTCGGGAACTCAACAAGCACATGATTGTTGTAAACAGTACTGTCCATTTAAAGATAGAAACAGTTAGGGGAGACTGTTTTTGGTCATCTTTAACCTGTGGCATAAATATCAAAAGAAGTTACAATTATACAGATTGATTTGCCTGAACTACAGACAGGCTAAAAAGGTTAAAAAGCTACTGAAAGACCCTGTCTTTACACAGGAGCAATACAACTGGTTATTCAATTGTCCGAGGAGTTTTACTCGAACTAGAATTCCCGTGGTGTAGTGATCCGCTCTACTCCATGATGGATGAAGACATGGTTTCTCTGTGGAGCCTTGGCTGTCCTGGAACTCACTATGTAGACCAGGCTGGCCTCGAACTCAGAGACCTGCCTGCCTCTGTCTCCCGAGTACAGGAATTAAAGGCATGTGCCACCACTGCCCAGCAAACAACAATATTTTTAAGAGGTCTTTAAGATCAGTGGTTCTCAACCTTCATAATGCAATGTCCCTTTAACACAGTTCCTCATGTTGTGGTGACCCCCAACCATAAAATTATTTCATTGCTCCTTTATAACTGTAATTTTGCTACTATTACAAATTATAATATAAATAAAAATATCTGATATGTAATCCCTGTGAAAGGGTCATTCAACTCCCAGAGGGGTCGCAACCCATAGGTTGAGAACCACTGTTTTAGATCAAAGTTAAAGTATTTATTTCCTGAATCACGAAAATGCTGCCAGAGAGGCTAAATGATGTATCCAGAGTTACCATGACAGAACATACCAAGGACACAAAACCAGGTCCTGATCCTGAGCGATAGTAACTCTTCCAGTACATTTTCCAGTGTCAGATTCTACACAGATTACAGCATTTGATGAAAATGAATAATATCAAAATAAATCAATGTATATATTGCCTAAATCAAAGTTGCATGTGTTTCAAACATATTCATTACAAGATTGGCTTTTCTGCGTGCTTTTTGATGTAATTTTTTGGTGAAATTTACAAAATTACACTATTTAAATGTTACTGTTGATAAAACATCATGGCGATACGCCTAGAGTCGGAGTGCCAATGTCTCACTGTGAACAAGACAGCGGTAGGCACTGGGAAAACTCACTTGGTCCCATTCCCCTTGCCCTGAGCATCGACGCCCACAGAGTGGCGACCACGTACACTCTGAGGTGGAGGAGAACCTGTCCCCAGCACTCACAGAACATGTGCAGAGGCTGGCAACCTTCAGAGGGCAAAGGTCAGAAAAAATGATCCCTAAAACCCAGCAGCTAGTATTTCAAGGGCTCTCTGAAGTTAGCACAGACTCCCTATCTTAGGTATCTCCAAGGCAAATATTGATGTGACATAAGAAATCACGAGCTAGCACGTAACACAGATGAAATTTTCTTGAAAGAGAGTAAAAAATAGACAATGGGCGTGAAACTATTCTATTTTAGAGTTGCACTGAAAAATACAGTCTTAGCATTTATTTATTTGTATGAAGTCAGCACGGAGAGGAACTGCAGACGGTCTGGGTGTGCCTCGGCTCCTTAGCTAACCAGAGTATAATGGATTCTGTGATATGCTTTATACAACTGTTTGTTTGTTTGTTTGTGGGACGGAATGTGTCACACACTGTACAAGAGCATGAAAGATGGGAAAAGTCCGAGCGCTTCTCTGGAATCCGGATCCCAGCCCTGACCTCCAGTGAGCCAGCTTCCTGGTGTGTTCGGTGCTCACACTGTGAGACGACAGTTAACTGGAAACGCACTGGACGGGTCTGTATGTGAACAGCACGCACTCTTGCATGTCTTACGGGAACTAGAGCCCCATAAAAAAAAACATACGTTCTGAAAAAATGTCAAGATTGCTACTTCATGGACACGCTACACAATTGAAGACGGACAATATTAGATGAACGTTAGTGTTAACAAGGCGCAAGTGAGGGCATTTTAACCAAATGTTGCCTAAATTAACAGTAAAACAAAACAATATTCAGAGTTCACACAGTAATTTTCAAGTAAGTGTCCTCACCGCTCGCTCACACAGTTTCCCAGGGATGATGGCACGCCCACGCTGAGGGGCAGGCGCTGACCCCTCCTTAGAGTGAAGATTCTGACTGCTTAGACAACATCACCTTTGGTTTCTGATCTGTCAGACTATCAACAGGCACCTGCAAAAGTAATTGACATTGAAGGGATGTACCACACCGACATGTTATTCATCAGACAATCGGTGAATTGACTCAAAAAATAAAGAATAAAAAATAGGAGTTGGTGATTAAAGAAGACTGGTTCCCCATTCGCCCCCTGTGTGCTCAGAGCACAGCCACAGAAACGCTACTTACAGCTTTAAGGGCTCCATTCGCCATCCCCATGTTTACGCTGTGCCTCCTCAGATCAGTCTTGATCAAGGCTAAAACAGAAGCACCCAGAGTTACCACAAAAGGGTCGCCATCTCCTTCTGTGTTATACATGGAACACACGGTGTGGAGTGCTGATAGCAACTGTATTCTAACACGTGACACACGGTGCTGATAGCAACTGTACTCTAACACGTGACACACGGTGCTGATAGCAACTGTACTCTAACACGTGACACACGGTGCTGATAGCAACTGTATTCTAACACGTGACACACGGTGCTGATAGCAACTGTACTCTAACACGTGACACACGGTGCTGATAGCAACTGTACTCTAACACGTGACACACGGTGCACAGTGCTGATAGCAACTGTACTCTAACACGTGACACACGGTGTGGAGTGCTGTGAGCGCCAGCAGCCCTGCTGAGCTGGGAAGACACCGAGGTGTTGGGCTTTAACCACCAGCATCCGTCAGTACAGACGCAGATGTGACAGTGGGATGAAAAGAATGGAGGAAAAGTGGTGACTTCAGAATTCCTTGTTTGGCCGGGTGAGGGGAGGACAGCACGAGCTAAGGGAAATACGAGAGAAAGAGGCCTGCACTGCGGGAACACAGTGAACTGGGTTCTGGACAGGGAGCCCTACGGTGCCCATAGGTCCAAGTGAAGGTGAAAAGACACACGAGATAATAATTCATATAATTCTTGTAAGTTTTTTAGAAGGATTATTTTTATTTGACCTATATGGGTGTGTGGCTTGCATGTATGTCTGTGCAGTGCCAGAGGAGGCCAGAAGAGGGCATCGGATCCTCTGGGACCAGCGTTAGATGTTGTGAGCGACCATTTGGGTGCTGGGAATTAAACCCAGGTCCAGTGAGTCATTTCTCCTGTATTGTCCAGTATTGTCTTTTACACAGAGTAGTGGCATTAAATTTGGAACCACCAAAATGAAAGGACAGACTCACATCCTGAGAGGAAAAACTGTGTTCGGCTTCTTATTTCATTTTTCACCCCAGAGTTGTGCAAAGCCACGAGGCAGCGACGCACACAACTGAAGACAGACGAGACAGTGCACACACTCAGCACTCACCTGTCAGAATGATGCCCAAGAACATCCAGGCACAGAGGAAAAGGTTTCCTGCCGCAGGATCATAGTCTGACATGAGCTTTCCCTGAGCCAAGGTGAACAAAATTCCAAATATCTAAAATAAAATTCGTAAAATAATTTTTATTAATTTTCTGTTTTATTTGTTTGTTTGTATTCTGAGATAAGGTTTCTCCGTGTAACAGCCCTAGCTGTTCTGGAATTCGCTTTGTAGACCAGACTGGCCTCAAACTCACACCTGCCTCTGCTTCCCGGTACTGGGATTAAAGGTGTGCGCCACCACTGCACGGCCACCTGTCTACTGTTTTATAACAAGTACACACACCCACAGAGCCCTCCTTAACTGACCTTTATGATTTGACTTCTAGAAACAACCACTGAAAATCAGGATCATTAACCCACAAAGTCAGGCCAAGTTCACTGCTCACTGACCATAGGAATCACCTGGCTTTTGCTGGTTTTGTTTGTTCCATCTTTTGAGGCAGAGTTTCATATACCCAGGCTGGCCTCAAACTCACGATATAGCTAACACTGGCCTTGAACTCCTGGTCCTCCTGTCTCTACCTATCAAGTGCTGGGGACTGCTACCACCACACCTGGTTAGCTGTCTTGGGTTAAGAAGAAGCAGAGGGGCTGGAGAGAGGGCTCAGCAGTTAAGAGCACTGCCTGCTCATCTATAGAGCTGAGTTCATTGCCTAGCAACCACGTGGTGGCTCACAGCCATCTGTAATGAGATCTAGTGCCCTCTTCTGGCCTGCAGGCAGACATGCAGGCAGAACACTGGATACATAATAAAATCTTTTTAAAAAGCAGCAGCCGCAGAAAAGAGGATTACCTGAGCAGCAGCATTGAGAAGCCCAGAGGACGTGCCTTCAGATTCAGGGTAAGTGATCTCAACAGCAAATTCAAAGCCCAGAGGGAGGTAACCAGTCATGAAGAAGCTAGGAGAACAAGACCATGAGACAGGTGGGCTGTGAGAAGGGCGGGCACTTGGACTGCCGAGGCTCATCTATTTTTACCAACAGCACACCAAAATAGCTTAAACTTTTCTGCTATACTTCTGAGGAACTGTATATTTATATGTACATAATGGACCTTCAGAGTTTAAGCTATCAGAAGGACCTTTGGGGGGCCTTTTACACACTCCTTCGCACACTTACCCAAGGATCCCACCAGTAACGAACACCACAATGATGTACCCAAGGTCCAGTGTGAACGTAAACACAAGCATCCCAACGAACGACAGCACGTACACGATCAGAGTCGTCTGCCTAGAACAAAGACAAAACCATCGATGGTTCCCTCCTGATTCTCCTAAGGCACACAGAAAAACGTGGCTGGCTACCACAAGCTACCCTTCTCATCTGCGGATAATGTAGCTAGCTCAACAATAATCTTGCCATAGAAAAGAACATCTTTTTTTTTTTTAAAGTTTACAACATAAAAAAAAGACAAGATAAAAAGAACCTGGTGCCTCCCTAGGAGGGCTCTTTTTAGACAGAAACAGCCTACTAAAGGGGCAGGAAGGTTTGTAAAGCATTCATGTAGGTAGATCACTGAAACACTCCCGCCAAGTCTTATTCAGACTGCTGTCCTGCACTCAGGCAGCTGAGCAGGACGACCGAGCTCCAAGACAGCCTGAGCTACCTAGTGAAACCCCGTCGTTAAAATCAATGTATCTTTACGTATGCACCATGCATGTATCTACTGTAGCCCCGTCCTTTAAAATCAATGGATCTTTACGTACGCACCATGCATGTATCTACTGTAGCCCCGTCCTTTAAAATCAATGTATCTTTACATATGTACCATGCGTGTATCTACTGTAACCCTGTCCTTTAAAATCAATGTATCTTTACATATGTACCATGCGTGTATCTACTGTAACCCTGTCCTTTAAAATCAATGTATCCTTACATATGCACCATGCATGTATCTACTGTAACTTACTTGTAGGTTTTGGTGTAATCCAGCCATAAGCCACAAAGAATGGAGCCCACCATTCCAGCTACCACCAGCGTTAGCCCAATCCTTCCAGCATTCACCTCTTCTCCCTAAAACAATGTGATAATCAGATCTCTCTAATTCAAGCTGACGGTTCATATTCCCATACATTCACAGTTAGCGGAAATAATCATATAAAAGCAAGCAAGCACACAATAGGAAGATTCACCACACGGGCTAGAGTTGTATTTTTGGAGAGGGTAGTTTATTGAAGAAAGCATTCTATTGTGAAACAACAGCAATGACAAAAACGATGATAAAATAATGAAAGAAATAAAAAAGGCACCATTTCCGGGGTAGTCCATGGTTGTACTTACTTTTTGTTAGGACTCTGAAATCACTTAGATATGTGCAAAGAGAGAGCTAAGGGCACTGCTTTTACACAGTAAAAGTGGCAGCTCCTTTTTAAGAGAGGCCAGTCTGACCTATGTTTAATCTTGCATCCCTTACAAGGTCTGTGTCTTTCCATATAACCAAATTACGGTTTTACCACAATGCTAATCATCTTTACTTTCAATGTGTTTTGCAAATTAGGTTAAATACGCATAATAACAAGTATGGGAGATAGTGATTTTGAACTGAGTTTACACAGAGTCCAGGGGACCAGAGCAAACCAGACCGGTGGGACTCCAGGCATCATCACATGGATAACTCAAGAATGTGGCCCTACACTTTAACTGTGAGACCCATCTGACTTTGAGTCCTGAATCTGCTTTCTTCAGCTTTTCCCTCCTCTTAGCTGTAGAGTGAATGCTGTCTTTTAAAAAACAGAAGTCAATCTTTTGCATCAACAAGGTTGATCCTTCATTTTAGGACCATGTTAATGTAAATTATACTGCTAAAGAAAAAGTCTTGGTCAAGCATACAATATAAAAGCAGAAGCTCGCCAGGCACGAAAGCTTACCACATAATATGTCAGTATCATTTGATTTAATAATGTCGAAACAGAATAAAATGCTCCAGTCATGATACCTACAAAGAAAAAATATAAGTTCCTCACTCTCTGAAATAACAAGGAACGCTATGCGATATGTAAAATACGAATAATCAGACAGTCAGGGAGACTAATAGCACCACTGCCACCTTTTGGAAACTGGACAGAAGGACCGAACACTAGGTTTCCTAGAGATCCGTGCTGGAATCTTGGTCTCCCCGAAGGGAAGGGGCAAAGGTGATGGAACCTTCAAGAGGTGGGACCTAGAACAAGGAGATGAGGCACAGGGGCTCTTTGGAGTGAGTCAGTTATCAGCTGAGGAGGCTGTTGTAAAATAAGGCCACCAGACAGCTCGGCCTACTTGGCACAAAGTCGTAGTTCATCCCTGTCATGATGCTTCCAGGGTTTCTCACCAGAGACCGAGCAGATGGGGCTACCTGGTCTCGAACTTTCCAAAGATATGAAATAAATGCACCTCTTTTCTTGATAAAACATCTTGATCTTGGAATTTTAAATTTCATATGTGTATTCATGAATAATTAGAATTATTCTGCATATAATAAGCTTTATAAGTAGTATGTATCTATAACTTGGTCTTCCCACTCAGTTGTGTGGTTCGGGAGACATGTTCCACTCTAGTTCACTGGTTTTCTCTACTGTGTAATAGTCCACAGTGTGAGTTATCTATTGTCTTATCAACAGACATTTAACATCCCTCCCCTCAGGTTTTCAGAATTTAAAAAAAGGCTGCAGTTGATATTAAGATTTTACTCCTAAACACAATGGTGTGTTTCTCTAAATATAACTGCAAGTGGAACTTCTACATTCTAGATGGAATACCCCACCAGGACTCAAAATTCATACAGTACTTCTGAGATCTGCTCATTTTTTTTTTTTTCTATTTTAAAACATTAGAAAAAACCCTTTAGGAACTTTTGTTCATCACTTACGTTCATAATTAGGCTATGGTGTTCATGAACCAACCTCATCAATGTTCCAGCCACTAGTGGCAATCAAAAGAATCCGTGGCGCTCTAAGGTGTGTGGTCACACGGGCACCACGCCACTTACCGTAAGTAACCAGCAGGAGAACAAAGGGGACGTTTCTGAACAGGTTCCAGATGGAGCTCTTGTAGGAGTACTTTGCAGGGGGACTGTCCTGCAGGGCTGCCTGAGCCTGACTTGGCGGTAACAAAGGCTTTTCCTTGAACGCTGGGAACATGTGAAAAGGAACACATATGACTAACCTTCCTCTACGACACCCACATCACACGTGATTAAGTCATGCATCTTTCTTAGTGAGAGGAGCGACTTTGGTTCAGGATTAAAGAGGCAGTCAATGTCTTCTATGGCCCAGTTATTGTTTTTTTGTTTTTTTTTTTTTTTTTCCTTTTAGCTCTCTGAACTAAAACTCAGAGATTTGGCCAATTCATTGACCAATGACAGCACTCTTGCCCACTGATTATTGCATTTTACAATCCAGATCGATGTTTACTACATCAAGGACTTGACTTTTAAGCTCAGTCCCTCGGGAGAGATGAATGCTTGGATTCAGTGGCCTTCCCAGGTAGCAGCCACCCACCATGTCTCCATCGCCACAGATCCCAGATGTACATGTCCCTGATCCTTAGAGATTTCATGGAAAATGCACTTTAGAACTAACAGGTAAATTCAGAAGGGGAGCACACGGGGAGAAGTCATATTCTCTAAGACTGTAATTTCTGCTTTCCCTCGGCCCGCCTCCCCCTGCTCTTCTCTCAGAGCTAACCTGTGCACAGTGGAGCCCCCTCCCCCCTCCCTCTCATCATTTCCCCCTTTTCTCGTCCCTTTTCCCTTTCCTAACAATTTCTTCTTGGTTGGAAGAGGCCTACTTTATGTTCAATTTGAAGTGGGTTAGGTCTGATGTCACTGGCTGTCAAGTGGAATCATCTGGAAATTTAAAATTAATACTGATTTTGAGGCTCTATGTAAAGTTTAATGAGCAGAATCTCCAGGGTGGAACATGAGACTATGCTAAAGAGAAAAATTCCTGGGTGTTCCCAGTGCACAGATATATTTGAGAGTTACTGGGGAAGAAACAATCCTGTAACTCCCACAAAATGTTATGAGTTATCATCATTCTATTGGCTGGTAAGAATAAAAAATTAAAGTTTTTGTTTGACAGAAAATTTTAATAATGGAAATTTAAAAAGTTTTTAAGAAAAATTAATAATTAAAATTAATAATGATGTAGCTAAAACCAAACTACTTTGGAGCTCAGAACTAGTTCAAGAGGGACAGACGCATAGGCACTTATTTGTAGCCCTTACATTGGAGCCCAGAAGACACAGAACCTTTAGCTGCCACAACTCTTCCTTCCTCTTCCTTTCTCCCTATCTGATCCTTGCACTGTTAGGAGGCTCGTGTCTGTCCTGCAAGTCTCTCTGTGCTCTAGTTGGACAGGAGATATTTCTTTTTATTAGCATAGGTAATACAAAACTTTCACAGTAGTAAATCAAGATTTCAGACTATAAATAATTGTAGCCATGAGTTTCCAATAAGTCTTAAATATCTTTCCTAGATTTAAATTTACTATAAAAAACAAATCAAAATAAACCAAAAATGGATTTAAAAACTCACATAAATTAAAAATAGCCCTCACCAGTTTTTAGCTCCATTCAGGTTTACTTTCTGAACACAAGAATCAACCTCCAGTTTCAGAGAGATGAAGTATCTCTTGGCAAATGTAACCTGTACCTACCAACTACACACCGTGGGAAGTCAGACTCCCGTACCACCAACCACACATTGTGGGAAGAAAGACTCCCATACCCACCAACCACACATTGTGGGAAGTCAGACTCCTGTACCCACCAACTACACACTGTGGGAAGTCAGACTCCCGTACCACCAACCACACATTGTGGGAAGAAAGACTCCCATACCCACCAACTACACACCATGGGAAGTCAGACTCCCGTACCCACCAACTACACACGGTCAGGTCAGCCTCAGTGCTACCTGAGGAAAACAAGGACCGAAAGGTCATCTGTCTATGACCTTTCTATGTTGTGCAGCTATCTCAAAGTAGGAAATAGGTCCTTTTGTTTTTATTTTTTTGAAATGGGGACCTCTTTTTTTCCCCACTAAAAACCTGTGCCAATAAAAGAATTGATTATTAGCTCCAAGTAGCCGCTGATCTCCACCCGGCACTGGGCACATGAAGTCGCCAAGAGCTTGAGGAGCCCCTCGAGCTACGGTAAAGAAACGGGGACGTCCAGAGCCCTTCTGTGAGTGCATGAGCCTCAGACAGATCTACACACTGTCCATCAGAAGGCAAATAAATACACGATCAGCCCCTGCCCCGTCTTATGTACATCTCAGTGTCAGAGTCTCATTAGTTAAGTGGAAACGACAATAACGAGCTGCTATAAAGATCACAAAAATATATAAATTTTATAATTATCAGTGCTACATAAAATGTATTGTCTCGTTTGAAATATATTCACTTAAAGTGGAACTCAGTGGGGCACGTCCTTAATTCCAGTACTCGGGAGGCAGAGGTGGGTGGATCTCTGTGACTTTGAGGCCAGCCTGGTCTGCAGAATGAGTTCAGGAACACCCAGAGCTACACAGAGACCAAAAATAAAAAATAAATAAATACAATATTCACTTAAAAAACAGACTTTGCCTCAAGAGCTTAAAATACTTACAGATTAAGTAAGTAAAATGCATCTCTACTAAAAGTTTTTTTTTAAATATTTATTTATTTATTATGTATACAATATTCTGTCTGTGTGTATGCCTGAAGGCCAGAAGAGGGCGCCAGACCTCTTTACAGATG